TTATATTCGCGATAAAATTTTGAGTCGCTCTTTCGATTTTTTTTTTTTCGTCAGCAGGATTTCTAAGGACATGATACTTTTGTGAAACACGATCTGAAAGAAGTGTTGAAGTGTATAGGATAGCAGTTTTGGACCCACTTCCCTCCCACCCCCCCCCCCCCCCCCACAGACCGTGACAGAGAAACCCCAATACTGATCATAGACCGTGACAGAGAAAACCCACTACCCATCACAGACCGTGACAGAGAAAACCCAGTATCTATTACAGAAATAGATAGACCGGTTCTTATATGGAGTGCGATTAAATGTCGCTAGAATTTCATGGAAATATGTCAGCTGCTTCCTTTTTCCAGCTCCAGAGGAATTAATAAACAATGATTTATTAACGGATTCGAAGATATCCAAGAAAACATATTCGTGCGACTAGTAACAACAGCCGCGTCGTGTTTCACATTTTAATCCCGCAGAGATTGCGCTAACAGCATTTTGTAGAAATATGGGGTGATTTCGACTACATTTGTGTATAATTTGAATTGAAATCCTTCGGAAGTTTGATAAAAAAAGATAACGAAAAACAAAATGTCAGCTTAAAAGCAGTCATGAATGAGTTCTTCGAACTTAATAGCTGTTACATAGATAGATACTCCTGATACCACTCTATCAAATAGTGAAAACCGCAGGTCTCTATTCCTTTTTGTTTTCGAGTTATTTAAAATTGAAACATACATAGAGAGACAAGGATCGCCCATACTACTATATCGTTTGTGGTTAATCCTTTGACGGATGATGAGATATATATGTCTTACTTTTTGTTTTCGATTGCAGAACTATAATAAACTAGGATCAATGACTTTGACAGAAAGAACGATGATACTATAGTGACCTCGTTACTTATTTTGTATAGCACGTGATTGTTGCACCATTCGTTTGATATAAAAACAAGGATATGAGCGTGGATGTGAACGTGAATCTTCTATTCATACCTGAGAACACTCACAATTTCGTGCACAATGATCTAGATCACGATCTATTTGACTGCATCATTAGCATCGGCAGAACTTAGCTATCCAAAACTCGCCTGTCAAATGGTTAATGCCCATTATAACAAGCCTTATGCTCATCATAATCCAAAATAATTTTGTTGATTTTGCACATTTTTCACTTCCTATTTCGTTGTAAGCGGAATTAATAGCATATTTGAGATTGTCCGACAAAATTACATTATCGCATCTCAATGTTTTTCTTATATTCGCGAGTTATTCAAAAACTAGGAAACTCTAAAAAAGTGTACAGAATTCTATACGTTGGTACTCAATGTGTTAAATATAAAAACAAAAATTTGAATCTTTTATATTAGGTATGCGTTTAACATTAGTTGATACTGGTGATCCAATTGAAGATTCAAACTTTGAAGAAGAAATGGCTGAAGCACAATTTTTATGTTTTTATACATTTATTGAATGGATGAAAGAAGTACTTGATATTAATTCAGTTGATATCGAAGAAGAAGATGATGATTCAAAAAATTCATCAGTTATCTATTGGATTAAAGATAAATTACATCTTTCGTCTAATTTAGATAATATTAATGAAGAATTTAGTAAACATCAAAAAATAAATTATCGAACAGATACGAAATACAATTACTATGATCATGTATTTGAATCAGAAATAAATCGTGAAATACAATTAACCGAAGAAAATTATAAAAAAATGTTATATAAAGATGTTCTTAAATATGAATTTTTTGAATTACAAACAGCACGCGATAATTTTATCGAGAATTATGCTCCGAAAGTGAACAAATGAATTTACATTTAATTAAACGATTTATTGAAGTACAAGTTATTTTATTAGTATCTATTTGTCCACATATTTGTGATTATGTTTGTCAATTTCTTCATCCTAGTACAACAATTATGAACGCTAAATGGCCAACAGCTGGTAAGAAAAGATTTCATACAAAAAGAAAAAAGGAAACATCAACTTAATTTTTTTTCTTATTGAAATAGGTAAAGTCGATCAATCATCATTACGACCAACACATACAATAATATTTATTGCACATTCATATCCATCACGGTAAATATCTGTTATTAATGAATTAAAACAATTATATCTTTCGAATAATCATTCGTTACCTGATGATAAACAATTAGCAATTTATTTTCAAGACCGTTCAGAAATTGGTAAAAAATATCAAAAAAAAATTAATACCATTTGTAATTGATTCTAAAGAATTATTAGAAAACAGTAATGATATAACATCATTAGATCAATATTTATCATTTGATGAATATGAAATTTTACAATTAAATCAAAATTATCTTCGACGTACACTTAATGTCGAACAACTTGATATTCGTTTAACTGATGATAATAACACGGATACAACAATGTTAAATTATTTAGAAGATATCGTACCTGATAAACCATTTGTACATCTTCGTCATTAAGCATTCATGTTATAGTGTATTCTCTTCTAACACATATCTCGATATTTTCTTTGATGTTCTCTTATTCATTTCATTCGTTTATTGTCTGTCCTCGCTTATATAGCTGGACTTGTTTTCTGTTTTATTATCGCATATATAAAGTTTGTTTATTTTTGAAATAAATAGAGAGACAAAAAGATCGAATCTGTAACAGACTGCCAGCGTTCGTACGTAAAACGAACGCTAACAATTGATTAGTGGTGGATCTAAGATTTTTATGATTGAGAACGAACATGATCCTAAAACATGTATTGAAGTTCATTAGAAATAGTATCAGCTAATATATAACCTTTTTCTGCTAGGAAAACTCGAGTGAAATGCTTTTGGAAAGAGGGCGATCGCTCTCATCCTTGAAAAAACGTTTATAAAAAAAGAACGATCGATAACGCATTTTTCAGATGATAAAACGTGTTCTGAAGCATTTTTCGCTTTGTTTTTGGAGCATGTCCTGAAGACGCTTTTACTGTTCTTTTGAAGCGTGTTTTAAGGATGTGAGAAAGTGTTTTTTCACAAAAACCGGCTTCAGAATACGTTTTATAATTTGGAAAATGCGTTATCGATCGTTCTTTTTTTATAAACTTGTTTTTCATGGATAATAGAAAATTTTAGATTTCCGAAAGAAGAGTACTTTTAACCTCACATCTTCTTGAAGAAGTATGTAATTTTAAAAAATCCATATCTATCACAAGAGGAAAAGCTATAACTACCGATCATTTACTCAAGAATTTCCACTAAAAACAAAAAGACGAAATGTTATGGTGTGGCTTGTGCAATACAAGCAAATGGTGTGGATTTTGGTAGTCTTTTCTCTTATATACTTGCATTCAGATCTTTGAAAATCCTATAATATGTCGTTTTGATTTTGTCGACCTCTCGATGAAAGATTAAAATACGAAAAGTTCTTCAATGAGTTACTTTATTTTGATTCATGTTGATCTGAGTATATTCATTCCGAGTTCTGTTTCTACTGGATATTTTCACATAATAGCTACTTTGAATTTAATTAGCAAGTTTATTTTCAATTTTAACAATGCTTGCTAATGTGCGTAAAAATTTAATTATTATGATAAAAAAAAATGTTTAAAATATTTGATTCTATTCGTAAATTGGAAGCGCGTTGTTTCCTATTCATTTCAAGCCAATCACTGTGTATAAATCATCAGGACTATTTTGAACTACAATTTATATTACGACACGACAAATTATCCGAATAATCCATCTTATCTTACAAATGATTCAGATGGTAACCATCTCTTTGATTGTGTATGCTACAATAACTTAGTTCGATAATCAATGTCATTTATGAAAAGTTTCTATTAGAATCGCATTAAACATAATGATCTTTCTTGCATTTAATTTTAACTAATTATAGAAAAACATGTCATGTTAGAATTTTCATAGAAATTCATATTGAATAAATTATAGCTTTTTTACAAATCTAAAAAAATCTTATTCAACTAGATGTTGTTTTAATGTAATCTAATCAACTGAAAACTTTTTATCATGATTAATTGAATTAAAAAAAGAAAACTTAAAATATAATGTCTAAGCAAAAAATGAGTCTGCATTATATGGTTCTGCATTGATCGATTCTTTCTTCATTCTGATACCCATGATAGCAAAAAGGCCTACGATTGGTCGTTGATCATTTTGTTGATTAGGTAGATCTTTCAAGTGCCTAAAAAACAATGGTCCATACAACGTTTCTTCATCTGGATGAAATACAAAAACATGTTTAGGTCTTAACGTTTGATGTATATAATTTACTAATGCTTGTTTTGTAGCTTGATCATTTGTTACTGAATTATACTCAAGAATTAGATGACGAACACGTCTTTTACGAAAAAGATCCTGTCCAGAACGAAGTACATTCAATCCAAAATTGTCGAAATCAATTTTTAGTATATATATTAATGATGACCATGCAATATTATCAAATTGAACAGTTTGAACTGTGATGGGAGTTATTAAATTTTTTGTATTATAATTTGAAGATCCTTCTAGAAAAGTACTATTCAAAGGCGTGTCACCAATAGCATTATAAAAGAGATGGACAGGAGGTTGTGTAAATTCATTAACTGCAATTGAAATTTGAAGAAGAGCAATCACTTCTGGTTGCCTCTCAAACATGTAAACAGAACAATTACATGCTGCAGCATAAAGACCAAAATCACCTGAAATTAGACAAGAAAAAAATTTTCGCTTTAATTAAATCTTGTTGAAAAAGATTTCATTAGAAAATTTTTCTTATAGTTATTTATTTTCTGAAAGAATTTGTTCGATTTGACATTTTAAATATGTTAGTTTATTCAAATTGAGAATCTAATAAGAAATAATATGTGAGATTCTAGAATACTATTTTACCTAGATTAGCACCGACATCGACAACAATGAGTGATGTATTTGTTCTACATGTATCATGGAGACGTACAATTTCGAATAATTTAGTTCGTGCCCCACCAGTGAAAGGTTTACTACCATTTCGAGTAGCCAGTTGATATAATGGCGTTCGATCATCCATGTCAACTACAATTTCAAAAGGAGTTGTAGTAGTAGTAATAATAGTAGTAGTAGTAATTTCAATAGTTGTAGATTCGGTTGTACTTTCAGTTGTAGTTTCATATTGAGCGAAATTTCCGATCATTGATTTTAAGCGTTCGAATGACGATGACTGTATTGATAATTTATAGTCAGTAAAAAAATAAATATGATAAAATAAACCAACGACAATTGGAATACTTAGTATAAATAAAATATTAGAAAACTTTTTCAAAATCCAAGTAATATAATTCAAGATATCAGAAAATTTTCGTTCTTGTAATGCATATGTTGGATTTTTGGTAGTCATTATGACTAGCTATTAATGAAAATAAAAAAAAGAATAGAATGTGATTATATATGACATTTCGGAAAATTCTTATAACAATTAACATTTCTCTGCAATCATTCTAATAATTACAACTCGTCTAAAATTTATAACTATTTAAATTTGTCAATAATATATGAACGATAGAAATCCTTCTTTAAATCCTACATATGTTTATGGTGTACTTTTTCGTAGATTAGTTTAATATACTTACATTCAGAAATTTATAATGTTGATATGAATATCAACAAAAAAACAGATAATAGGGTAATTTTTTTTTTGAAAAAGTCAGAGTTTAAAAAAAATATATTTCCAAGAAATGTACTCTTTATAATAAACTATAGTCAAAATATATCTAATTTAAGTAAAATCATCGTCACATAAGTATAATTTATTGATCTAATAAAAAATTGTAAGTTGTAATATTAAAAATTGTAGAGCCATGTCAATTATTATAAATATTTGAAGACACAAATCAAATCTTATGGTGAGATTGTTATAGAAATAAAAAGTATTACATATGCGCATCTATATTCGAATGCATATGTAGTATGTTGATAAAATGAAGGCAGTCATGGTTCATTAAATATATGATTTCTTTTTTTTTTTGTATTCCTGTTCATGTACCAATTAAGATTGACAGAAAACCTTGTTGCTTTATACATGACAATGTTCTGAAGCGCAAGCATTATAAAAATGAAGGATACGAAAATGCAAAATTTTAGTAATATGTCATCGATTGAATATTTTTACAAGATAAAAAAAGCATCATCACATTTTATTTCAATATAAATCTAGTTAAAAGTAAAACTACCTGGTATTGTACCTTTTTTTTCTTTCGCCTCGATAAAGAGTAAATCATAAAAATGAATAATATTCATCGTCTTCATTTATATTTTTTTCAAATTATTATCATCACCTATACTTGTCAGGAATATAAACGGTGTCCTGTAATAACTGATAGTAAATTACTAATGATATTTTTTATACTTTTTCGTGATGTAGATGACTGAAACTTTTATCATATATATATATCTAATCAAAATTTTCCATTTCTGAAAGTTTCAACCCTCTAACTATGGCTAATGGTGAAAAACATCAATTTTCATACTTGGTTTCGGCATTTTATGTTGAGTACGAAAATTGATGTATTTCAATCTTGTCGATGTATTTCATAAGTGGTTATAGCTAGAGAACTGAAATTTTCACAAATAAAAGACAATGATTCTTTTTAACATCTTTTATATTTTAGTGTTTTATGTTAAAATGTATTTTTTTTTTCATAATCTTTTAAGAAAGAGTTTATTTGCTCAAATATAATTTGTTTGTTTTTTATTATTAAAAGGGTTTATATACTTTTTTTTTATGTAGATAATCTATTCGTAAATGATGCATCATAGAATTTTGAGAAGTTGCTCTTTTGAAAATGCTGATCAAAAGCAATTTAACATGAAAATATCATGAAAAATATTTAACAACGAAAAACAAACTTGTTATGTGTAGGTGGATGTTTAGATGCGTCTGACTTCTGCTTTCTCCCTTTTTTTGGAAATGTTGGTTTTTTGTTTCTCCTCTTTTTCCTAGAAGTACTCTATGGATAATCCTCTTATCTTATTTTTCATCTGAATGTTGGTCATACATTTTATATTATTCAAGATGCTTTTCTGTGTGTCATATTCATTCACGCAAATGCTGACTAAATGCAATCTATTGGGATTGTTACTAGAGAATATATTTAATGGGATTGGCAAGTGCTGTTGGAAATAATTCAATAGGTAAGTCAATGCTATAGTTTTTCTGGCAGACAATGTCATTGCCCTTTAGATTTCACCTGTTGCTCATACCCACAATTAAAGTTTGATGTTAGACTTAAGCTGAGAGTCGAATATTGATGCTGAAATGAGAAATATAGTTCAATGGGTCAAAAAGATCAAACGTCATACTACTATTGCTTTAATAAGATTTTCTTCGAGTTTCATAAGAATCTTGGAACAAACGCTGCAAATGTTAATTTACGAGAGACGATAGTTGGTGTCCTCGTTTAAAGATCATAATTGATGCCAGAGATATGGTGAACTCAAGATAAAGTCTATTA